ACCAACTGAGCTAACAAGCCAACTGGGAGCAGGCCATCAAATTAATTCGACAAAAAAACTTATTATCATATGAAAGGATGAGCACCAGGACTCGTTTTGAAAATGAGGCCAAGGCTAATTCGGAAATGGGCTAACAGCTACGCATTGCATTACCCAAAGACCGCACTCAACATTTTTCATCTTTCCCAATCAAAAAATAGAAAGGTTCTTTCGAACATAACTTACAAGTGTTTTAATTCTAACCAAAAATTTTGAACAGTAGCCTTTAGCTTGCGACGTAAAGGCTGAAACATGCAAAGAAACGTTTACCTGATAAAAGAAAATTTCAGTTCCTCTCCCAAAAGCAAGAACCTACGGAAAATTGAACGCGTCAAAATAAATTATCTTACAAGATTATAGAATATCAAATATCTTATTGTCCTAAAATAACTCTGACACAAACTCAATAAAATAGCATTTCATCGATAGAGAAATGAGCACATCGTAGTCCGTATTCTAAATCACAGTGCAAACGCCACATTTCAAGGGCCCTTTTCCACCCAAGCGGCTTTGCGCAGCTGTCCTTTAACTCTTTAGTGAACCTTAACCTAAGAGATATTTCCTTAAGGTATCGAGCGGGCCTTTATGGTAGCCAATCCAATCTAACGCGGCTTCCTACTATCGGTGGACAATTGGACAAACCAAAATACTGCGACGAAAACTTTAGAAGAAAAAAAAATGACAGCAGGAGAAACTGGAATATATGAGACAACGCCATTTCCTTATTTCGTTATTTTTGCTTTGTTTTAATTATTTTTCCCCTTTTTAATATCTTGACTTCTTGAGAGAAATTTAGCTACTAACCGGATCAATGATTTTTTTGGATTCTACTTGAATTATGGCAAACTGCCAGGCCATGAGCGGTAGAGAATCAACAGGGCCCTACATCAAGACATCAGAATTAGAAATAATTATAAGAAACTATTAATATTCACTGAGGCTTACCGCTAGAGTATTATGCACGCACTGAGGGCGATAAGAGTCAGAAATAACACGAACTTGTCAAAAATTACCATAAAATACTTCAATGAAAAAAGTTCAAATCAAAAGGTGGGTTTGTTTGGAGTTTGACAATCGGCGCGAGATTTGAAATCAATGCGAATGACTAGAATCACAAACATAATCCGCTCGGTTGAGAGAGACGAAAGACGAAGTCATTTCCGCCGGCGCAGAGGGGGGACGAGTATAATTTATGTACGACCCAGTGGTGGAGATCAGACCACGAGATCCGAGGGTCTGTGGTCCGAGTCCTCGTAGAAGACTCATTTTTTTTTTTTTTTCGGTCTCAGGCGCTCGACTATGCTAATAAAAACTTTCTTATAACTTTCAGTCAGGGTTACTTCCTACATATGTACCTTTAGAGTGTGAGTAAAGAGAACCTCGAGCTCTGGTTTCAGTGTTAATATAAGAACCTGTAAACGAAGGCAACAAAAGTAGGAGAATATAAGCTCTTCGATACGCAAGGGGAACACGGTATTAAATCTTCCTTAAGCTGGCTTATTGACCACTGAATGTGCACTCTGCATGTATTTTTAATTTCGATATTCCTTTTCAGCGACTTGCGTAAAGTTTAAAGTACAAAGCACTTTCTGGAGGCAGAAGTCAAAAAGAAGATATGCATCAGATGTAATGATATAGGTGAAAAAAATACGCACGTCTGATTTTCTGGAAACGAGTGCATTTTTCATGTAACACAAGTGCAAGGTTGTAACGCGAGTGCCAATTACAAATTGTGCGCGCGCTGTCAAAATTTCGTCTCTCTTGACTTCTGTGGTACTTTTTTCATGTAAATTATTGACAAGTAACATAATTTTTCGTGAAATTGGTGTACTAAGCACTTGTAAATTCTTCAAAGACTGCAAATTGCACTCGCCTTGTGGGCTCAAACAATTTTGTTGTCTTCAGAAAATTTACTCTTGCTGATTACCACCAAATTGCACTCGAAACCATGTTACTACCTATACCTATATTGGCCAATGCCAATAAACCATGTTACTACCTATACCTATATTGGCCAATGCCAATAAACCATGTTACTACCTATACCTATATTGGCCAATGCCAATAAACCATGTTACTACCTATACAAATTGCTACAGTACAACTTTTACTCATTGTACCTTGGTAAGAGTGGCCAATGCCAATAAAGACTGTTCATATAGAGGATGCTCTTTCATTCCCTTATGCAAATGGAGAGGCGCCATCGTGCACACTTCGCCGCGGCTTTAACAAAAAGAGTAGACAAATAAATGTAACTACTAGTCATCAAACATACCTTAATTTTAACGTTATTTATTAAATAAGAATAAAAGAGGAAAGTCTTCGCCTTTAACTGATTCGCACGGCGGCTAGAGCTATTCTCGGTTTCTATGCCACAAAGCGAGTAGGTGTAGTGCTTCTCTGCAAAATGGGATGGTAGTCCATCAGAACCTCTCCCCGCCATCTCCCCTTCTGGAATTTTGTCGGGTTAGCCCGGATGTTCGCCGAAACCCTCAAAGACCCTTGGGTAGAGAAAGGCGCTGGGAGTAAGTGACTCGCCCGAGAACACATCACAACAGCATGCAGACGTTCGAATCCGGTAAGAGTGCTTAACATTATACCAATGGGTTTTTCCAAAGTTTTTAATCCCTACAAATATTTTTTTAAAAATCAAATTAACGATAACAGACGTAAAATGAATAATTGCATGTAAAATGTAGATCACCTTACTCGTAAAGTGCATATGCACCCTTTAGATTAAGAATTATCATACCATGATATTCGGATTACCTTCCCGAAAACAAACACGTTGATTCGTACGTTCTCATTCCGATGAGTCTCCTGTAAGAGTAAATTTCATGGAATCATTCCAAACAAGGTTAAAAATTATTTTGAGTACTTGTGGTTTTCACACTCTCTTATTGTTCCAGAAAAGTGGTACCACCTTCTCAACGAATGACACCCACGTTTCCCCTTCTTTGTAGACGTCTTAAGCAGGGTTTTGTTTGGTTCTTATGGGTTCCTTGTTATATTCTCTTCGGTTCTGATAAATACGATTCATTGTATAATTGGGTTTTGACCACAACTGGTAGTAATGTTGCAATCTGATTGGCTAATTTGTCGTTGTCGATAAGAGTACAGATAGTGTGTCACGCAGCGTGTCACGCACTGAAAGAATCGTGTTTTGACCACAACTGGTAGTAATGTTGCAATCTGATTGGCTAATTTGTCGTTGTCGACAAGAGTACAGATAGTGTGTCACGCAGCGTGTCACGCACTGAAAGAATCGTTTAATTTGACGTCGATAAAAAACAAATCTAAAGTGGTTTAGTGGTTCAGTGTGGTCTGTACTCTTATCGACAACGATATTCGTCTTCACAATAGTCAAAATCTGTTGCAGAGTCACTTGGCTCCGCCACGTGAGTCCAAAACATTTTGACCACCGCGATGACGGATATCGTTATCGCTGAAAGTACACACCACGCTAAACCACTTTCGATTTGTTACGTCCCACAAACATGCAGTTGTCATAAAGATTACATTGACTGTTACAACAACTTTTAAATCAAATTAGCCGGTGATATGTTTTCAGATTTAAAGTGAATAGGGTGATTAAAGATTCCGTCAGCTCACTTGACAATTGTTCTGTATCTTTTCCAAAAAATTTCCAAAGATGTTCTAAACGATCTTCTCGACAAGCTTAACTTGTAAGAACAGGGGAGTAGTATAGGTGGGACCCACACATTTTCCCTTTACGGCGCAAAGGGAGGGAGTGTTGTTAAACAAGACCTAAATTACTTAATGTTCAACCAGAGCAGCGAGCCAGCAATGACTCAGAGTAAAACCAAGCAAACTGCCAAAAGCGCGGGAAAACACAAGCCAACGAGGCGTGACTAGTTTTCGGAGTTCCATCTGATTGGCTAAGAGGATGGCACGAGTTTTCTCGACTAATCATAGTAAGGAGCCGACCTTTTAACTTTTGAGGGAGGGGGTGGGTGATTTCTGGTCCTCAAGAAATTTTTTTCTAGCAATCTGCTGTGCAGGATATATTTTTCCGATTTTTTGGTACATTTTTTCTGTTACATTTGGGCTGCATGCAATTTTTCTTCTTCCAACAAGCGCTTGCAGGAAATTTTTTTTCAAAATCGCCCAGCCCCCTCCCTCCCCCCTCAAAAGTTAAATGGTCGGCCACTAAGCGGTAGGGGCCATGCGACATGCGATTGAAAATTGCTCTAAAAAGTTGTTTTGGTCAACTCTCAAATTTAAACAGGGAAACAGCGCTAAGAGAAATCCTGTCACATTTCAACTCATCCATATGCGAAATTGCCCTCTATGATTCAGCAGTTCTTCTTCGCGGGAAAATTAGTCTTCAAAGGAAAATGGCTCTTTCCTCCAGTAACCAGAAGTGATTAAGAAAATAGTACTTAATGGTGCAACCTTTTAACCTGTACAATTGATTACTTAAAAGCGTTTGTGAAAAACTTTTTTCCTGGAACAAAATTCTTACTTGAAACTCAGAACAAACACGGATCCACCACTGTCACTGCAAATTGCAATTGTTGGGTCATCTGTAAACTGTGAAAAACACAACGAATAACAACAGAAAATTGACAGTTGCCCACAGGAAAAGAATAGTGGGTGCTTCATAGATAGGGCATTCACATATGTCCAGTGTGTTTGGACGTGAGCAAGTAAGACTGAGTCGAGTACGTGGAGTCGAGGCTAGTGCGTAACTTTCCCGCAGAAAAAATGCAAAATCGGATAAAGCCTTCCTTCGTTTTAATTATTCTTCTCTCACTCTCCTACGTTATATGTTTATAGTTGTGCATAACCCCTTTCCTAAAAAAACAATTGGGGACTAAGCAGCAACAACATTTTGAATAAACAAATGCTTTCGAAATGCCTCACAATTTATTCATTTTCTTACCATAACATGCAGCACTGCGCTACCCATGGGATGGGCATCCGTGATTTGTCTCAACAATTTACCAGACTGCAAATCCCACATGGTTATCTAGAAATACAAATTGAACCAGTTACGTAAGTATTTCATAAAACCTATTAAATAAATTAACCATCGTAAAAATGGTGTACTAAATGTCATGCTTGATAATTTTCAACTGCATCATTTTTGATAACGTAATTTTTTTGTCAATATATTCCCATGTGTCATTAGTCGATCTGTTAATCTGCTAGAGAGTATAATCTTTTGCTTCCTATCAGTGCTGTGTAACATCTGTGTTTGCATGCTACCTGGCCTCTTGCATGTCCACATAGAAGTCTTGTACATTCCATGTTAATGCCCAGTGAAGTAACAGCCCCATACTCAGCACCTATGACATGATTGATTAAAAAATTCTAGGTCACATTTATCTTTTCACTACAATCAATGTTTCATAAACAGATTGTACAGGTGTGTAAAATCTCTGACACATATAAATACCTAATGTTAATTGTGGAAATACTCTTCAGAATTGGTAGGCAAAAATCACAGAGCAATGCCCTTAAAATCACGATTGTTGACAGCTATTAAACAATTTTTATTGCAGTTAATAATATACATGAAAAAATTTCTCAGTTCTGATTGGTTAAGATGAATGCAGTTTTCAGTTAATTCAGTGCAGAAGAGAGTTAATTCAGTGCAGAAGAGAGTTAATTCAGTGCAAAGAAAGAAACAAACCAGACATTCTGATTGGTCAGAATGATTGGTCAATGTCAATGTCAAGGTCAATGTCAAGGTCAATGTCACTTGCAGATGTCACTTGTTTGAATAAATTATTTTTGCACATGATGCGCACACTTTTCTTCTGCGCAGTTATGAGAAGCTACCTCGTATTTTTTCATGTATATTATTAATAGATAATGACATGATTTTCTCGTGCANGGTGTTTAAATGGGTACCGGCAAATTTCATGCTGGGGGGGGTAACTCTGCGATGGACTAACATCCCATCCAGGGGGGAGTAGAAATACTCTTAGTCGCTTCATGCTACAGAAACCGGAGTTAAGCACCAGCCTGATGGGCCACTGGCTCGTAAACAGACTTTACCATACAATGTGCATTAAGACACTCAACAGACTTATGGCTGCACTGTGTATGTTCCTCATCTCCTCCGACCTATACTTATAAGTGTTGATACAACTATGATTGTCTTTACCAAAGACCAGCACCACTCCATGAGATGTTCCAATACAAATTAGAGAGGACACAGCCTATAAGAAATGATCAATAGTAATTAAACAAATTAAAAAATCAATCTTTAATGCTTCATAGCCATTTAAGGCTACACAAACTTGTCCTGCATGGGACAGTGGTCTACTACAGGTAACTAACTACCAAGCATTATTCACCAAGTTTCAATGACATTTTATTGGTACTCATTGTACTTTTATATAAACCAAGGTACTGTGGGTCAGAGTTAGAGTACAGACTGAAGAATATGCTACCTTTCTATAACATCAAGAAATGGTTAGATATTCTAGTCTTCTCGAATAGGGACGAATAAATGGAGGTCCCTTCTCCTGCAGGGTTAGGGGTAGGAGACGTTAATTTCCCACGCACAAGATTAATGTGTGATGGATGTCCTCCCCTGGGGTGGGATGGGTGGGTTTGTTGGAGCTTAAACCTCATAGGGGACCTATGTCCTATTTTTTCTGCTCCAGGAGTTTGTACAAATCCTTAAATACTCAAATACTCAAATATAAGCTGTCCAGTCCACTTTTTAGTTTTCATTTTTACAATACAGAATTGATATTTAAGAATCAAGAATCAAGTCTTGAGACACTAGAAACCATTTGGGTTACATTAAAAATAAATTTACTTACCATGGCTGTAGGCAAACCAGCATCCACTCTGGCCTGTCAACAAAAAGGAAAAATTACTCCTTCATTTCTAAATATTGCTCAAGGTTCAACTGGGAAATTTCCTCTGTTCAAATTTAATATTTTAACTTGGCAAAAATTACTTTGCTTTTCATGTTATTCACAGCCAACAAGCATCAACTACTGCTAACACTTTTTTATTGTAGTTACAAGATTGAACTAATTGAAAAGTGAAAGTTGAGTGAAAAAATTTCCTATCAATAAAAATTTTAATATCACTAACTTTTTATCAGAGCAAGGACATTATTATCATGCTAATATTTAGTAAATACTGTAGTAATTGAATAATACAAAAATAATGTCAAATGTTTCACTTACTGATGCAGAAACCATCTGACTGGAAACACTTTTCAACACAACATGTCGCAAAACAGAGCCATGCTTAGTTTTCTTTATTTTTTTTCCAGAACTGTGAAAGCAGCAAAGGTAAAAGAAATAACATAAAAACTGAAACTACAATATGCAACAACAGGGTTCAAATATTTTGAAATGACTAAGTAGGAAAGCTAGAAAAGAAAATATTTAGATCAGGATCATAAAACAAAAAGTAAGTAAAGCAAGATCCACATGTCATAACCAGGAGAAAAATATTGTAATATTAAAGCTACTGTTGTTATGTGGTAGTTGTTATTGCTGTTGTTGTGGATATTGTTGTTGTTGATATTGTTGTTTGGATGAATCACAAGACCAATAAACTTAAATTTTACCCTGCATGTTCACCGAGAACTTACCTTAGATCCAAGTCAAGAGGAGAAGACAGTACTTGGCTCTCAAGGAGGTTGGCAAGATCAGGGTCATCCTCTAATGAAATGATGTCTTCATCTTTCTGTGTGAAATAATGACAACCATGATATAAAGATTATCAATATCTTTTTGATAACAAGGAACTATTCAATTTGTGAAGCTACTTCACTGCAACTTTCTAGTTTTTTAACGTTAAGTTATTTAATTTCAGACCATTTTCTGATGATTGCAATAGTGACACAAGAATAGATTCAACTCCATAGTTTTCTGAAATTAGTGGCTCCCTAAAAATCAAACTTATTCGTTTTTCCTTCCCTTTCAATGCCAAAAGGAACAGCCCAACATCACTTCCAAGATCCCATGAGTAATTCTCCTCACCGTCTGCCATACAATTTTTATCATGTTAGTTTGGAGAATTTGGTATTGGATCAACTAATAAACCCTTGATTGATATTTTTCTTTATTCTCGTCACTTTTCTGCTTGATATTGCATTGATATTGTAAGAAGAAATTTTGTCTTGATCACTCATGAGAGTTAAATTCATTACCAGTTTAGATATCACTTTCAAATCTAGGATCACTAGATAGAAGGATCCAAGGAGGGGAATTGAAAAGTTTTTGTTTTTTCAGCATGAAAGTACTATTACCTCATTCAGGATACTCTCTAAGGATGGCATGTTAACCACCTCTGGTACGTCAACTTCAATGTCCACCTACAACAATAGATTTCAATTTATGAACACGTAGTTCTTAATTTCCAATCAAAATATTCTTTTTTACAATTGCGTCCTTTGTTACCAGGCCTCTTCAAACAGGAGTGAGACTGTAGGTGAACTTGTTACATGATACAGATGTTGCTGCATTTCAATTGTAAATTACTTTGTTGTCATGCTAACTAGATACTGATCTTTATCACATCAAGATCACCTTCAGCTTCACTCCAAATCAAGGGCTTGGCAACCAAGTACACGTACAACAGTAAGATGGCTTATTTCCAATTGAAATTGACTAATGTATATTAACCTAAACAGTTATTCCCAAGTATTGCACTACTCGGGCAGTCAGAGGGCCACTAACTAAAATCAACCAATCAAAATGCTCTATTGCTGGTCAATATTCTCTCAGTATTGGACCGGGCACTGTCCCGAATGGTCCCGAATGATACCGCACTTGTGTCCCTTTGAACTTCAGTCGTATAATAAATCTCTTATTAACCAAGCTTTCTCGGGACCGTACTGGAAGAATATCGGCCCTCGGTCTTTTTTGTACGGACGTCGCTGCGCTCGGTCCGTACTGTCAAGACCTCGGGCCGATATTCTCCCAGTACTGCCCTCGCGCTTGGTTAATAAGATATATGTATTGCATGTGAGATTAAAATCAACAGGTCCAATGTCTAGTAACAGTTATGTTCCCTTAAGCATTGTCACTGCCTGTTTACATAGACCCAGAGCAAAGATGCTAAAATCACAAATAAAAATCTTTACAATTTTGGGAGTCACTCAAATCACTGGATGAATATTTCATATAAAAGAATCCTATCAGAGTTTCTAAGTTTTTATGAGTAGAAAAAAAAACCATCCATTAACTAAGAGCCTGTTTCGAAACTCAGTGACTTGTTTCGAGGTCCTTACATCTCTTAAATTGGAAGGTTAAGGCCAAGGGTAACACAACTCTGACAATATCATACGAACTCCATTATTTCTGGCATGGTTCTCAGCGCAAACAAGATGTCTGTGTCTTCGATTGAAAGAAATGTAAGTCAGCCGCTCTCCAAAAAGTAGCTAACGTTAACAATCAAATCAACTTAACTGGCCTGTTTCTCTGTAATTTTGTTAATTACCCCTAGGCACCATTCAGGTCCTATTGTATTTAAAATAGAAAAATAAAGCCAAACTTACTGAATCGGAAACATGTCTCTGCCTAAAGGATCCAGTGCTTGTAGTGAAAGCTGCATCGAGTGATTCTAGTGATTCTAGGTGATCACTAGTGGATAATAAACCTTCCAACACACTCGTCTCCTCTTTCATTTCGTCCGCCATCTTGGCAAGTTTCTTCATCTAGTGCCAGGCTTACTCGTGTTATAGGGCATCAACAGAATCGATGGACCGAACGGGCTCGGCATTTCCTACATATCGCGCGTGAGCTGCCGTTCGCGCTCGCCTCACGCGTGAATCCGCTCGACTGATGTAGTTAAAACTACACCTGTTCAGCGGCTGAAATATTAGCTACTTATTAAAAACTGGATCATTGGATAATGCAACTCAAAACTTTTTAAGGGCTTAGCCATTATGGTATATGAGCCAATATACCATAATCTAATATCTGTACATTGTAACATCCGGTTTCTTCTTACAAAATAAAGTCGAGAAGATTTGTCTAATATCTTGGGGGCGTCTTTTTTAATAAAACAATTATTCCACTCGCGCTTGTTGGATATGAGATGATTATAGCGAACTCGGCGCTACGCGCTTCGTTGGCTATCTATCATCTCATATGCAACGCGCGTTCGTGGAATAATTGTTAATTATACAATAACTCCTCGTTCAAATGCTGGCATACCAGTTTTGGACAAGCCTACTTATCAAGAGAAGTTAATGAAGGGGGTACCAGAGAAACTGTGCTTCTGTGTCGGTAGCGGGTATTATAAGATGATTTGGTTTTATCAACTGAGAACGCCGAATTAAGTTTCGCCGAGCGAATGACGATGGGCTCTGACGAAGGGCTAACGCTCAAAACGTTAGAGAGACTAAAGTATATGGATAAGGGGCTTGGAAACCAGGCAGAGAAGCCCCTTTTTTTTTGCAGATTGTTTAAAAAGTGTAAAATAAAACAGTTATTTAACTCATTTTTCGCATGGTTCATAAATTATCGAACGTCGTGTCCGCGTTTTTTGCTTCAGCCTTCGGCTTCGGTAGATAACTCAGCATTGATAATTCAGCATGCTAAACATCATTCAGTTGATAAAAGTAACGTAAATTAATTACCTATCAAATCAAGAGAAAGCCAGTCACTCCCAAACTTAAGTCTATTATTCAGAAGTCAAATACCAAGGTTACATTTTACCAAGGTATATTTTTCTTGCTTCATTCAGAATCGTAGGTATTGCATAATTTACTGCTTGAATTTTGCAAGCTCATCATTCTATCATAAACCATCTTTATTACTTTTTCGTTTATTCTTACTCTTTGAAGTTTTTTAGACTATCAAGAAATTATTTCAAGATTTCTCATAATTTAGAGATTCCATGGCGAAACTGAGAGTCGCTTAAGATACCGATACGTGTTAGCTCTTAGCACAATACAGGTGTAATGTTCATTTACACGGGTGATTACTTATGCTCGTGACATCCACAATCGTGTCCTGTCATAGCTAAATGATCATAGTCGTTATTTTTAATAGCCCAGTGCCGTCCTTGGGTTGTGGTACAATCCTGACTTCCGGTACAAGCTAGAAACACACACCCGCAATATTGACCAAAATTATCCGTAGTATGAAAATCATCGCAATCGAAAGTCCTCCCCTTGTATACCACGTTTTCAAAAACCTTTGGAAGTACTTCGTCTGCAATTATTAACACGAAAAACTATCTGAGTTATATAATAAAGAGATTAAACCGTGTTTACGTGAAACGTGAACGTTAAGAGTGACCACGTGACTTTTTTTCTCGCTAGGTTTGCCGGTTGCGCTTTGCCGTTTCCGCCTGAAAGTAACATGTTTCGCGTTTACCGTGTGCATAGGATTTTATGCACTTTTTCTCTCAAAGAGTAGAAGTTAATTGCCAGAAAAAGGGCGCCAAAACTATACCTTGTAAGTTGTACAAGGGCGCCTTCAAATCCACCAAACTAAAGTAGGCTATTTTACGTTAAACAGGAAACGGCAAGGTGAAATTAGCTGTTTCACGTTTACGCGGTGCTTAATCTTTCTAATGGATGTAAAACCACACCAACAACAATGAAAACAATAAATGACAGACAAAAACAAAAATATTTCATGTTTCACGAGCATAGGGAAACAATTACCTGAGGAACCGGTCACTGGTTATTATACATCGCCTAGTGGGGGGGAGGGGCGATAATTTGGTTGTGTCACGATGAAATTTACCTAACACCCCCATGAAGCTTTTGTGTTATCAGGTGACACACGACCCTTTCTGCTCCTGGCTGTAACCCAGCAAGCTTCGAATACGAACTTAGAATATGACCGCATAGCACGATACTAACTATAGGTAATCAAATGTCAGTGTTACTTCTGTTTTTAATGCTTTCTTATTTGTTTGTTTCATTTCATCGATCAAGGCAGCGAAATGCCTCACTGAAGCTACCAGTTCTTTTAGGCAGGTGACCGTTTAGAGCACAAGTAAGATGGCTAAAGCCTCAATTTCTCAGCATGACACGATTATGTTCGACTACAAATGAGACAAACCTATTACTTTTGATTTCATTATGAAAAGTAACGAAAAGGTTACCTTTCAGCTTTCCTTCTTTATCATCTTTCTTGACATGTTTGGCATACGTCACCAAGAACACTGCAAACCACAAGAAAACTGTCCAGTTGCCCTTCAAAGCCATTTGGAATCCTAAACGTAAAATGCATCAGGAATGTGAACTTTAATAACGACTCCTTACACAATAACGGGCATTATTAGCATTCTTATCCTGGCTTTTGGCGAGAAAGCTGTCGTTTTTAAGCATGTTGTCGAGGCCAGAAAAGCTAATTTACCTAAATATAGGAGAATAAAAATTGAGCCCGGTCATTTATGAAAGGTCTCCAAGGAGAAAAAAGAAATTCTTATGTTTTTCCGCTTTTCAGTGAGAAAGATCTTTGAATTAAAAACAGCAAAAACAAAAAAAAAAACAAAAACAAAACAAAACAAAAACAAAAAAAACAAAAAAAACAAAAAAAAAAAACAAAAAAAACAGCTGCTCTCTGCATTCAGAAAAAACAGTTGCTATCCATTTCTGCAAGAGAAAATTCCCTCCCCCTCCTTCCCAAGACCAGTACATCAGACCCTTCTTTTTTGGAGTACCACGTTCTCGTTACCGACGTCCTGGTTTACACGAATTCCCTAATAGTCAACCCGCACTTATGTCACGAAATGCAGGCAGTGACAAAAATGGCGAAATCTCGTCAAAATCGCCAAACCGAATGAATGTTCATGGATTTGGCGATTTGGCGGGGCTTTTTTAGTCAAAATCTCCTTGGTTGAATAGACGATTCTTTTTCACTCAAATTTCATGATAAATGTGTCAAAATATAGATTAAATGTTCATGCAAGGCAGTGAATGCCTAATTAAATGCAACATTTCTTCGTCAGTACTAAGATTACATTTCTGTTGTTAAAACGAAACAACAACAGCTTGTTAGTTACAACAGCACATTTTTTTTTAGAACACCTAAGGCGAGATCTCCAAATTTCCAGAATGTAACTAAATTTGGAACTCTTACCTCTGGTAATATTTCCTCTGGAACTCTTTTGAAGGCAGAATGAATGTCCTTTTGCTGTAAAACAACTGATGTAAGATTTAAAGATAACACATTTGTGAAGTATTTCAAGCTGTGTTCACCTGTGACCTTGACCATAAACGCCTTGCAACAGAGCACATTACCAGTTTTTAAGTTTTTAAGTAGATACAGACAACCCTTCGATAAAAAGTTACTTGTGGAGAATCTTTCCATTGGACACTGAGATAGAGATGAGAAAACTGGGATTAGAAAAAAAGGGAAAGGCGGTGTTCTAATTGTTAGTGCGCTGACCCGAGTTGGTCATTGTGTCATGTATGCCTTCACAGGGCTTCTCCCCACCCAGCAGTATAAATTTGTACCACAGGATTGTCAGGGAAACCTGATGAAACGCGTAGCATTGGGGGGAGGGGTACCCTTGCGACGGACTGGCATTCACTGTTACCGAAGCTTCTAAACGTCTCCACATACTCCGTGTATTCAGCAAAACAGGTGTTGAGTTTATAGACTTAGTTATAATGCATATGTTCTTGATACGATCTGCACTTGAATATTGTTGTGTAGTATGGCACCACGACCTTCCCTCTTACCTCTTTGAAGTGGTAGAACGAATACAGAAACGCGCCTTCATTTATACAGAGAGGCTCTCCAATATCTAAAGTTACCCATATTTGTAACATATTTATAAATTTTATTTTTGAAATGATATCCAGTTTTTAAAATTTAAGGTAACAATATTTTAATTCAAGTATATGCAAAAATGTTGATATTAAACGCATTATTACTATTATTATTATCATTATTATTATTATTATTATTATTCCATCCAGGAGAGTGATTCTTCTAGTCACTTCCGGTATGCTATGGAAACCGGAACAAGCTCACATGATATTTTATAACATAACCAAAGTA